ACATCTGTCAAGAGAACTGCACATTTTTCCTAGGAATGCTGGTTGAACAGGACCCCTGTGTAGAAATGAAAAGACTTCTCAATTACAAACAGCTCTTTGACTAATAATTTTGTCATTATGATTTCACTACTGTAATTGTAATAGTAAAATAACCAGTACAGATCCTTGCTGCCAAAGAATTTCACTCAGATACAAGAAGGAAGATGCTATTACAATACAAAGATTTCAGGAACTAGCAATCATTTCAACTCTCCTGGAGATAAGAAAATTAGAGTATCTGGAAATACTCAAAATTAAAGAATGCTTTTTAAACGAGCAAATGCGCACAGCACGTTCTCATGTCTGCCTTGGTCTTCCTAAAATGCCAGTCATTGTTTTTCTAAAAATCCACAAGTTATTGTAATTGCAGATAAAAAAAACTAAAAGCAGCATGTGCTGGTTTTTAACTCAAAGTTCTTTGAAGATAAATTTTATTACTAAGTGGCTGTATCTGATTTTATATGAGCTCAGTGTTCAATACTGGCATTTATGCTGCTGAAAGTAGTAATTACATACACAAATTTCTGAGAAGCCTCGAACATTGTCCTTGAATCATCCTAAGGGAGAAGCATAAAAAATGGATATTGGAAAAGTTACACTGGCAAATTTTGACTTTATAAATTAACAATTTAAACAACATCCAAGCAGGTGGGCATTTAAAGAAAAATTAGAGTTTGTTGTACAGCTAGAAAGTCATCAGTAAGTGTTTTTTTACTTAGAATAATTTGCTGTTAGTGTTGGAAAACCCATTCCTAAAACCAAGAAGAAAAGCCCAGGTGGTCCACCCTGGCTACTGAAGGATTTATTTAGTAATGAAAACAACAGCTAAAGAAAAACAGGTGCAGCTGAAACTGAAAGAGACAATATGACATGATCACTGTGTTCCAGACACAACTTCTACGGTCAGCTGACCATTGACTCTGGTTTCTTCCCACATACAGTATCACATACAAGCCTGCTCACTTGTCTTGTCTCTTATCTCTGATCTTCTCCTTCTTTCATCACTCTGTACCTTTCAGCATCTTGATTCTTCTCGGCAGTGAAAATCCTGTTCTTGGAGATCACACTGATAATATTGGGTAGAACAAATCTCACAACAGTTTGTTTCCAATTATTTGCTGGCATTAACATCTAGTCTAGCACTCAAGAAGCATGTCTGTAATCAGCATGATATTGAAGACTTTTTGGCCTTAAGGAATTCCTATCACATTTGGTCCTGGTCCTTGGGTTTCCATACTTGTACTCCAGCACAGTGCTCCTTCAGCAATGATCCTGTGCCTATATATGAGACTGTCCTGTCAATAGATCCCTGAAACCATACAGAGGAACATGGCCTTTTTCTTGGCTGTTGTTTTTAAGTCAGATCCTCACATGGATTCAGGCCATGGCTCCACCCAACACTTGCTTTTACTGGCCTAAGTGGGAGTGTCAAACTTTCACTGGGAGAGAGTGGAAGATACAGACAAAATGTAAACAAGCTTGACTGGTAAAACTGCTGGATAGTAGAGCCATAACAGAGTCAACAGCCTTCTTCTGGAAAACAACTCCTGTTTTCTTGCTGTCAGCTTCAAAACACGCACATCCTATTAATCTGACTGTTCTTCAGGAGAAAATCTGCCCACCTATGTCTTGTGATAGTACTGTGGCAGGAGTAGTAGGATTCACCCTTTGCATCTGAAGCTCCAGAGCCTGGCACATCTGTTAAGCTGAGGTGTCTGCAATTTCTCGCTTCAACCAGCTGTGTGTCATGCTCCTGACATTCAAGTTGTGAAACATTTGCTTGTAGTTATGAGAATGTGAGCTCAGGTGTTAAATAAAGTTACTTTTTTGGGATCTGCTGTCCCAATACACACTTGGAATCAGTTTTCCACTCACTTTTCCTGCTGACATCACTGAGGTAATCCCTGCTCCCATGGAGAAGCAAATTGTGGCAACTGCAACTAGCACAGCAGGAAAGTAAGACTCTCAGATTCATGCCTTTGCATTTGTTTGAAATGACACTATTCAATTTCTGCAAACATCTGATTTTCTAGGTGAAAAAAGTAACTGTTAAGTATAAGGAACTTCACTGGACACCTCAACATAATAAAAACTAAATTGATCAACCAAAAATTATTAACCCATTAGTGATCCTAATTTGTTAGCTTTTGTAACAAAATACAGAAAAGAGGGCAAATCAATAATACCATTAGCGACTTTTTAAGAACCATTAGACCAACTGTTTTAAAAGACTGGTTTTCACAAAACTGAAGTAATGATGAGTCCTTTGAGGCCCTCCAGGAAAGGATAAAAAAAGACCAAAAAAAAAAAAAAGCTGAAAATGGACATTCCATTAGTTAACCTTTAAAATGCAATCAGGACAAAATGAAAATGTACTTAAATGCCACAGTAATCTAGTGGGAAAGTGAAAATAAGTGTAACAGCCCAAACAGTGCATTCTATTGATAAAAATGGAGATGATAAAATTGCTTTAAGATAGGAGTTAGAGAAAATGCAAGTCGTGCTTGAATGTGAATTGAATGTAGGCACAAGGCAAATTATACCAATGATATTACTAAAGTGAAATGTAAGAATTGTTAACATTCCTGTCAGAAAATGTTTAACAGATAGCTTTACATTCTGGGAGAATAGGTAAATATTATCAGGCTTGACAAAGATTAAATTCTTTCCAGTAACAGTACGTTAAAAAAAAATTAAACAGCAGCACTACAGCTAAGTAATTTGTATCAGTAAGACAGGATAGCTTGCATACAGGTTTTTGAAATATCTTTTTGGAACCTCTTTTTGATCTCTAAATATGGCTCTCAATAAACCTTGTTTTTCCAAAGAACAGGAAAAAAGTTAATACAGTGACTATGTAAAAACAAGGCAAAGGGAATGACCTAGGTTAATTACATGACTGTCATCTGGACAGTAATCCGCAAGAAAATATCCAAGTTGCTCAGAGAGGACTAAATGAATAAATGTTTAATTACAACTCAGAAATGACATTTCCAGGAAACACATCTTGTAGAGCTATTGTTGTATCTCTTTGAGCAAACGTTAATTTGATAAAAATAACAGTGATGCTATATCCTTCAGCTTTGGTTTGGCATTTGAGTTGGTACAGCAGGACATTTTAATTAACAAAAAACCCAGAAAGATAAAAAAAAAAATCAGAATGTTGCACAGTAAGTGGACTATGAATAATCAGCAGGCCTCAAAAACCAGAAGAGGAACAATCAGCAAACATTTGTGTGAGTGATCCAGATCCTCTGGGGATCAGGGTTGTCCATCTGTTATTCCTTCTTATGCTGCACCAAATTGTCATCAAGTCACAATAGGAAGGGATGCAAGAACTGGGGGTGTGGAGAATAATGAAAGCTAAAGTCACTTTCAGAGTGACTCAGAGCTCTCGGTAAACAGGGTCCAGTAAGAAAAAAAAAATAAAAATCCCCAACAAATTAAAATACCAAACAAACAACTCATTAAAACCAACACTCTATTTATTAATGTATTTTATTGATACATTAAATACCTATTTTACATATCTTTATGTATCTCATAAATACAATATTGGTTAAATGCAATATTCTAACTGTGAACTAAAAAGTGTAAGCCATCCTTGCCAACAGCATGACCACATTTCTTCTGCAATAAATTACACTGCCTGAAAACTTACATGGGATTTATCCTTGATAGGAATTTTTTTTACTTTTTGGTGTGCCACATGCAAAAGGGCTCAAGGTTTGAAAAGGTGCTCATCAACAGCAGAACTGAGAGACTCCATCTCCAAAATCTGAAGTGAAAACTGTTGAGAGCTCACCTGAGTTCACCTGACAGATACATGTATATACAGACTGAATCATGGAATCATGGCATTTGGGTTGGAAGAAATCATCTTGTTCCAACCTCTGCCATGGACAGGGACACAGAATCACAGAATCAACCGGGCTGGGAAAGACCTCTGAGACCTTTGAGTCCAGCCTGTGACAGAACACCGGTATTCTGTGTCAACCAGACCATGGCACTGAGTGCCACATCCAGTTTTCCCTCAGACACCTCCAGGGATGGTGACTCCCCTACCTGCTGGGCAGTCCAGTCCAATGTGTAATCACCCCTTCTGTGAAGAAATGCTTCCTAGTGTTCAGCCTGAATCTTCTCTGGCACAGCTTGAGGCTGTATCCTCTTGTCCTGCCAAGAGGCCAAACCCCACCGGGTTACATCCTCCTTTTAGGGAGATTGCCAAGAGTGGCAAGGCTCCCCTTGAACCTCCTTTTCTCCAAACACCCCCAGCTCCCGCAGCTGCTACCCATCAGCCTTGTGCTCCAGACCCTTCCTCAGCTCCTTTATCCTTCTCTAAACTCCTCAGTGTTTTGTGAGGGTCTCAGGACGGCCCACGGGACACTCCCAAGTGTGGCCTCACCAGTGCCGAACCCACAGGTACAGTCACTGCCCCGGTCCTGGGCCCACACACCTTCCACAGCCCGGGCTGCTCACAGGTCGCCACATCCACCCCAGCAGTCGCACCCCGTTTTCTGGCTGAACTCTAATGGTCAGTCGTGGAAACAGGCTGCCCAGGGACGTGCTGGAGTCACTGTCCCTGGAGGTCAAGAGCCGTCTGGATCCGGCGCCGGTGATGTGGGGTTCAGGGGTTATAGGGGCAGTTCTGGGCGGACGGTTGTACTGGATTGTCTCGAAGGTCTCTCCCAACTTTAATGATTGTATGAAACCAAACAGACTTGCGGCTGTGCAAACGAGGCACTCGTGGAAGGACACCCCGATCCCGAAGGCAGCGCAGCGCCCGCCCCGGGTCACGGCCGCGCTCCCTTAGCCGCGGGTCCCTTTCCGGCGCCGCCCCGCCTGGCGCTGCCACATCCTCCGCTGACATCAGCTCGCGCCGCCATATTGAGCCGCCGCCGCCGCCAGCGCGGCCGCCCCGGGACCGGCCTGCTGCCCATGACTGCCCCCGGCCGGGGCGCGTAGGGCGGAGCGGCTCCAGCCCGGCCCGTCCCCTCCCCGAGCCGCCGCCGAGCCCCGCTCTCTCCCCGCCGCCATGACTTCCCTGACCCAGCGCAGCTCCGGGCTGGTGCAGCGCCGGACCGAGGCCTCCCGCAGCGCCGCGGCCGCCGAAAAGGAGCGGGGCGCCGGCGGCGGCCCCGAGGATGAAGGGCGCCGGGACGAGTCCGGTGACGACGAGAAGGGCGATTCCAAGGAAACGCGGCTTACCCTCATGGAGGAGGTGCTGCTGCTGGGCCTCAAGGACCGTGAGGTGCGGCCGGGGGCGCTGGGCAGGGGGTGCCCGAGGGGACGCCGGCTTTTGGGGGTGCTGTGGGGAGCAGGAGCCTGGTGGTGAGATGGGGTCAAGGGCGCTGCAGAGTGAGTGTGGCTGGGGGCGTGGGGCAGAGGGAATGGGGGACGTGATGTGCCTGGAGCAGGCTTGGTGTTTTGGAGGAGCTGGGAAAAAGCTGCACGGATTTTGGGGAGGGGGAGCCCGGCAGAGTTTGTGGCGCTGCCGTTTGGTTGCGGGGTTCGCAGAGGGGCTGTCATATGAGTACACATGAGAGGGAATATAGAGGACCCGGGAGGACATGGATATGGGGGCCAGGGCTTCAGGCCAGCGTTGGACTTGAGGGCCTGGGTGAACCTGGCACATTTATCCTCCTTCAGCTTATCCGTGCCTCTAATGTGGGAGGGAGGTAGCTCTACTCCTGTGGGTTTTGTCACTCAGAACTCTGGTACTTACGAGGTCCTCAAGTGCTCTAGGGTGCTGAGCAGCCCTTTTCTACTAAGACCTTGCAGAGTAATGCATGAGAAAAACATCTTAAAATTGGGGGGAGGGCTATATGACAGAAATGGCTGTGGGTAATGAGAAGCGTGTCAAAATGAAGAAATGGCATTATTATATAATTCTGTGTTTTTACTGATTTCATTGCTTAATAGTTTGCCATGATACTGTAAGTAAGTCATTGAGGAAGGTGTACTTCCTCCACTCTGTGGGATTTTTTTTTAATTTGAAAAAGGCAGTCAATATAGAAAGCACTCGGACTGTGGAATGAGAGTTCTATCAGGGAAGCAGTTTAATTTGATGCGGTGTATTTGATTAAAGGGTGATACACCCTTATTTTAGATATGAGTGAGATACAGTATTGATTTGATTAAGGGACTAGCTTTTCTTTTTTTTTGTCAAGTAAACTTGCTTTTGTTTTTTAATTTGTGTGACAAATAAATAATTTAATCCAGTTCACTGATTTGAATGGAAGTCTCTTGAAACTCTGCCTTTTCAGTATGGGAGAGAAGCTGGTAAGTTATATGTTCTTTGACAGGGCATTGCATCTGCCATAAATTTACTGGCTGATAGTGAATAAAGAGTGGTTTTCTTGATTAATGTTCACTTTTTAGCCCATATCACTGCATCAGAGCTGTCTGAGTTCAAGCAGCGTTTGGACAGTACTCTTGGGCACACAGTGTGACTCTTGGGGATGATGCTGTGCAGGGCCAGGAGTTGGACTCAGTGATCCTTGTGGGTCTCTTCCAACTCATCTTATTCTGTAACTCTGTGATCTGTGTATGTACCTGCTACAGGAGCATTGTGGTTCTCTCTGTGTGTTTCAGAGCATATTCTTGTACTCCCGTCATTTCAGGTGGACTTTGCCATGGTGTCCTGATAACCTCAGTAGATAGTGATCTCTGCTTCTACCTGTGAAATTGAGGGCTTGTTGAATTGAAGGCATATGAGCATTTTTCTTTCTACATGCCTGAATAGTTGGGGGAAAGTAAGTTAGGAGTGGCAGGAGCAATTGCTGGCTGGACTGTCTTAGGATATACCTTATCTTGAAGAAGGCGGTATAAACTGGGTGATTTTTCAGCCTGTTTTTTGACCAGGATTGTGCGCTAAATCTGCTGAATTAGTGGGCATTATGCTGTAAAGATCTCAGGGTAGGGAGCATTGTGTCTGCCAGGAGGAATATGTGGCACAAGTCTTCGTGGTGCATCAAAGTTAATATTGGGTCTAAAAGTCTGCCTTTGCAATGGTGTGCCTCAAAGTTTTACATTACCTGACTTTGCTAAGCACAGCAGTGACATACATTGAAAGGGATCTGTTGTTCCTTTATAGAGAAAAAGGAACTGAATGGTTACAGTGGCATGGATATCCCTAAGTCCCTTGAGATTTTGTAGCCGAGACATCAGACATAAAGAATTGTAATTTCAGCTCTAGGGCAGGGGGCTTAAATGCAGGGAGCTTTGTTAGACGTGAAGCATTGGGGTTTAGACTTTGGTTTTGGGCCTGCTTGTGCCCTTGTGTACAGGGTACACAATTTAAACCATTTGTCATGTGTTTTCTTTCCAAAACTGGAAATAAAACTACAGGCTCATTTTCCAATGTGAATATTTTTTGTTCTCTGTTGTTCTAATGATAAGTAAGCAGAACCAGCTTACTTTACACATCTGGAAATGTTTTTTTACGAAGTCTTTACTTCCAGTAGAACTGATTTACTGTAGCGTTTGAGTGAGACTTTCTCTAGAGAGCAAGCAAAGCAGAGCAACATAGAGTCTGTAAAGTATAATTTTGAAACTATATGAAGTCTAAGGGACAGGCAAAGGCAAGTTTATGATATACAAGCTTGATTGAAAGTCTGTAAATTTAAAGCTGAGAATATCCTTCCTGTTTATTCCAACAGGAGAAAACAATTTAATGTTTACTTAAAAAATACAAGAAGTAGACTGGATTGACCAAAGAACATATAAATAAAAAATATAAAAACAAGAACTCTGTTTTGGCCAAAGAACATATTTCCCTATAAATAGATGCTTTCTCAGAACACTTACTGATACATGTATTGATAACATAGCTTTCAGATTTTTAGGTAATTTTAAACAATAGTGATGTGACTTAATTTCATATGAACTATACAAAATAGCATACATGTACAGAGCTACTTTTATAATTTCTAAGTGTACATGGAAGAATCTTTGCTACTAGGAGACAGTTTTTCAGGAAGATATTTAGTGGTGCATTGATGAGTTCAGTGTTTCCAGGAGATTGTTAGATAATTGTATACAAAATAGCTAACATGTACGGAGCTCCCTGTATAATTTCTAAGTGTACATGGAAGAGTCTTTGCTACTAGGAGACAGTTTTTAGTGATAGGAAGATATTTAGTGATGGATTGATGAGTTCAGGGTTTCCAGGAGATGGTTAGATACTAATGTGAATCTTGTTTCCAGGGTGGTGTGATGGTTGTAAACAGCCACAGCAAGACTTTTGAGATGTTGTCTGGTTGCTGCTGCAGTATGGATTCAGTGATGGGAATTTCTGGCAGCTGTAGAACAAACACACCACCCCTCAATCCTGTTCCTGACATCTGAACACAATTACCTATATTTGTAATGCTTCTTGGACACAGCCTTTTTGTTTGTTAATGTTGTGTCCCCCACACACAACATTAGTTTAGCCTAATTAGGTTGTACCTAATGTTTGTCTTCTGATTGCTCTTTTCCACCAACAGCTCTCCTTCAATCTGTATTTTCTGTGTACACATAACTATTTTTGTATTCCAAAGTCAAGATAGGTTATAAGGGATATGAGCTGAAATATGTGCATGCTTGCATAACATGACAGATGCGGTGTCCTTGGAGGAGCAGGTAATAAACTGGAAGAAAATACATTACTAAAATTTTTCAGGGAGCCATCACAATACCTGCATGTATTTGGAAATCCTTCAGAAACATATGTGGAAAAGAGAGTCAGGTTCATCCATTTAAAGCAGAGCAATAGCCAGTTGCTATAGGAATGAAAAGCATGCACTGAAGTTCACCAGTGCTGAATTAGGTAAAAAACCAGTATTGTGATAGGATGGGTTAAAGCCACAGCAAAAGGGAGTTACAGTGTAGAGCTACTGAAGCAAAGGAAGGGAGTAATAAATATTGGAAGTTATAATAGAACTGATTTAAAAATGATAGCTAAGAGATGAGTACAGGGCAGCTGTTTCATGACAGGTCCTCCTGGCATCTTGTAATTCAGTCTCATAAAAACAGAGAGGTTGTGAGGTGGTCCTGCTATGTAACTTGCTCCACTAATTTCATCCTTGTAGGGTTTCTTCTGGTTGTGGGTTTGGGTTGTCTTTTCTTTTTTCCTCCTTTTTGAAATTTTCTTTTGGTAGTTGTTGGGAATCTATTCAATACAGCAGTGCACTCAACTGCTTTTATCCTCTATACAATTGCCACAACTGAGCAAATTTAACCAGAGAGAGAGACCTAGCACCCACCAAGATAAAATATTTATTTGGTCTGTAACTAATTCCTCACTTGCTGAGAGAATACTCATGTAAAGTATGCTGAAAAATACCTGGCTACTGCAATCTACTGCAACATTAAATATTTCTTAGATTTTTTTACCCTTTCTTAGCTGAAGACTAAAATGTCATTTGTGGGAATGAGGTAATGTTAAATCACTTCATTAGGTACAGAAATTATCTTGGATCTCTGTTACTTATGTTTGGCCTTCAAAAATTTCATTCATTGCTGAAAATTTGGTTTCACATCATAGCTTTGTGTCCAGATAGGTCACATGAAGGTCTCCAGCTTATGATATTTTTCATTGTATTGAAGTAAGCTTTTAGGGAAGTAGTGTGCCTGCTTCAGATGGGCTATTTTGTATTGACCAGATTAGTATTAAAATGTAGTTTCCTTATTATTCTTACAAATATGAGCGTCTCAGTTGGTTTCTGAATTTTATATTTTAATCCTAAAAGTACTTTTGTGAAAGGTGGCATAGGAATTTTGAAAACATTCCAAGCGTGGGTGGTGTTTTTCCTGCTCTTAAGATTTGACTTAGTGAAATGGATACTGTGATGCAGAAGTCTTGGGAGGATTTGCCTTTGTAAGAAATTAACAGGTTTTGAAAAGTCTTCTTTGTATCCTTTTAGTCTTTTTTTTGTCTCATGAAAACGGTTTCAGCAAGAGGCTGAATGTCAACTTGGAAGCGCTCAAGTTTTGCTGGAAAATTTCTGAGACAAACAAGTGTAACTCGAAGAGGCGTCCCCTGGGAATTCATTCGCATTGCAGTTGAGGAGTGATGTATGAATGTGTTGAAACCTGGACAAAGGCGTGCTTTTTCTCAAATGTTCAGGGCCTAATAACAACAACGTGTGTAATGTCTGTGGTGAAAAATTCTTTCTTTCATAGTTGCCTACCTTTTTGGTCTTTTTTATTTTTGTATTTCATGTCTATAGATAAGTGACAGACTAGGAGAAGATAGGAGGTGTGGGA